TGTACTACAATTCCCTAGCTTTGAACATGAGCTCTGATTGGACTCCTCCATTTCAATTGAATTCAATATAACTCAGATTTTGCAATGTGGGACCTCATTTTCCAAATTGGCTTCAAACTCTCAAAGTTCGGTGTCGATTGAAAGGCCTTGTATAGACCCACATATTCCTAAGGAAAACTTTCTAAAATCTCTTTGCAAAGAGGTTATGAGTTAGAACTGATTTTTGAAATGAAAGTGAAATTAATATTATTTTTTGTAACTTTGAACTGTAAATTCATGGAATGAAAATGCTTACAATTTCGTATTTGTTTGTTTATTGGTGTATTTTAAATATTTTAAACTTTTTAATAGTTTCAAATCGCAGTAAAAGTTTATTAACATAATTAGCGGCAAGGGCTTCGCTGTCCGATTTACCAATGAATTGATTCCATCGTTAAAAGTTATTACCAACGAAATTCAAGCCACCCCTCATTGGGGTATTTTTGAGTCAATGTGGTTTTGGATCCATGTGGGAGTCTTTGTTAAGTGACGACCAAATTGTGCTTGTGACAAGACTTGCCGACCAAATCTTGAATACAAAATTGCTGTTGTTTTTGGTAATGAAATGTGTAAATAGAGGTGAAAATACCAAAAAATACAAGGCACAATTGTATTAAAATGTATTAGTTGGTGTATAGTGTACCTACTAAAGACAAAGAAACCAGAGTGCCATATTTGCTTTTCCGGAACATTCTTGGACTTTTTTATATGCCTCGGTCCACGTCCACCAGAGTGCTGTTGTTCCATATATGCCGCTGTCCACTTACAAAATTTAATTTCTTTGAAAATAAAAAATAAAATTGCCAGACGTATTCTACAGAATGTAATGTTGAAATAACATATTCTACAGATAATTTTAATTGGTATTATAAGACGTAATGATCTCAGCATCGCCTTTTAAAATAACAATGTAATATTCCAATTTAAACAAAATCTCAATAGCATCAATCATTTTTTCTATTTCTTCTTCGCTTTTTACCTCTCCTCTCTCTACTCTCGCTTCTGGCACTGGAAACATAGGAACTCTCTTAGGAAATTAAGAACTTACTATATTCAAGAATAGAATAGGCAACCAACTCGATAGGAGAAAATAACCATAACTTTGAACGTTACCAAGATTCATTTGAACGTGACCCATAATTTTGCGCTTTGAAAGTCATTCGAACGTTAATGAGAGACATTAAATTTTCTTTTTTCAATGTTGGTATACGATGACGCTTTCGTGTCATCTTCCGATTTATTTTTCTTTGTTCAATCCTGTAGGTCATGGAATAACTTTGAATTATAATCAATTCACACATACAACCTGACACGAACATGGCAAACAAATTTCATGCTTAAAAGGTTAAAGAAATTATTCATTTACAGCTAATGTCTAAAAATTATCGAAGTTATAAACAACTTGACTATAATACTGTAATATTCCCTGTCGCTCCATTGGCACCGTTCAATTAAAAAACAGGTTTGTTTAATTAATTATAAAACAGGTTTTATTGCTTTCTTATATGAAGTTATCTTCTTGCCTCTAAAGTCTTGCTCGTTTTACTGCATAAAATCCTTTTTCCCTTAAAGTTGCCTTGAATCCTTTGGACATTGCCTAACCTTCTTTTTCCATTGAGATGGCTTATGCATCTCTACTTTCACTTACTCAAACACTCGAGCAGATCCTGCATCCTCGTGATCAATCTCTTCATCAAACAGATCAACAGGCCATAAGATCTCTCCATGAAAAGTTTAGCCTTTTGCTATCATTTCTGGAAGATTCTTCACACAAAAATAGTGAAACAATTAGAAGTTTGGAAGAGAGAATTAGAGATGTGACATATGAAGTAGAAGTTATAATTGAATCCCATATATTGAATCAGATTCTCTTAGAATCTGGAAGTCATGAGGATACTATTGGATCCCATATGTCGAATCAGATCGTATTGGAATGGGAGCAGAAACACGAAGGCTTGCAGAAGTTACTAGAAGAAATCCGTTCTGTTTCAGAAGAGATGATGAAGATGAAGGACAGGAACGACATA